CCCCTCGAATCGCCGGCTCGGGGATGGGCGTCGGGACTGGGGGTGGGGGTGGGTTTTCGCCTTCTGAAAGATGGCGCGCGGCAGCTGAGCGAACTGGGCCACACACGGAAGCGCGCTGATCGCACGGCTGTCGCAAAGATACGCAGCGACTGCCGACGGGAGATCAGCCGCGGCCAGCTGCGCGACGCGAGAGGCCCACGCCCCCACTGGAAGGTGCCCCATGCCCGATTCCACGGCGGGGCCCAAGACAAACCCAATATACGCGACCTTCGATGCGATGTGAAAGTCTACTCCAGATTTCGTAATAAAAGGGAGGGGGTCTGGACCCTCCAAGACAAGCCATTTCAGACCCCCCCCCGTGGGTCAACCCTCCAAAGCACCGCCCCCAGACCCCCCCAGATAGCCTGGAAGAGACCCCCCCCCGAAATGAGACCACCCTCCCTTTATTACGAAATCTGGAGTATCCAAGCCAGCAGAAACTAGACGACCCACTGCTGATACTGTGCACGGATAAGCTCTGAGAAACCCCCCCAGAAAGGGGGCACTTGAAACGCGTGGCAGGCTTCACCACAAGGCCCGCGCCAGGGCCTCGCTAGACTCAAACGCGCGCTTCAACGGCAGCAGTCCCCGCGGCTCCGCCACCAGGCCAGGGGCGCGGCCAGGCCTTGCCATCTCAAGCAAGAGCCGCGCCCCCGCCACGAAGGGGCGGCTCGCCGTCTCGAGGAAAGCGCCAGACGGGCGCCCCTGCGAGATGCCAGAGAGCACGATGCACAGAATCACTGGCAACCTCCCATGGACTCCAGAGCATAATCTGGCGTCGTAGATCACCCGAAAAACGGCGCATCGGCGCCGGCAACTGAAAATGGCGAAGAAAAAAAGGATCCACTCGTGGGTAACCGATGGAAAGGCCTGACCGTAATCACGCGTGCACGCTGCTGGGAGAGCCAAAAGGGATTTGGGGCCGCATGGAAACTACGCGCGCTCGCACGTCGAGTTCAAGAAGGCCAACACCAAAAATCCTGCCCGAGACAACGCCCCGCCGATCACAATCAATGCGTTCCTGGAGCCTCCGAGACAAAATCGAGCAGACCACCCCCGTCAACATTTTGTTGCTACTCTGCTCCGGCCCAAGAAGCCGAGTGCCACAGGCCGTTCAAAAGGACTTCTGATGCGTCGTGCCCTCGAGAGCCTCGCACCGAGAATAGCCCGCGGATGCGTCTGCAGCTGGGGGGCAATCACCCACCACCCACAACATGCCCCAGCGCCTCGTCTAAGACATTCACGCCTGCGGGGTCATGAATCCCCCCAGAGCATGCGAGCCCGTCAGACCCAGGCACCGAATCGAACTTGCGGGGGCGAGTCTCGAGGCTCTGGACTGCAAGGAGGGGGGTCGGGCAGGCGCGCGCGCGGGGGCCGGACTTCTCGAGGCGGGCCTGCCCCATAATGAGGTTCACCCTCCTCCCGCTGAAGACCGCGCCCCGGTGCCGCCCCAGCGGCCGCGGTGCATCAGCAGGCTCTCGCGCGGCAGGCCCTCTGCCATCATCAGTCATAACGCCCTTCAGGGACGCCCCCCTGAGAGGGGAGGCCCATACTTCGCCCCTCATCGCCAGTCTTTCTAGTCGTCGTCGTGTTTTCCCCGTGTCGTCCGCCATTCGTCTTCGCGATCAGGTTTCGGGCGTCGCTGTCATGTTTTCTGCAGTTCGCCTCGTGGACGTCATTCGTCTCGGCGGCGAAGAGGTTCGGGTCGCGGAGCCGAGCGGGCCCTGTCGAGGAGTCGGCCCCCCCGAACCCTCTGCTCAGTTGACTGCTCGCTCTGATCCGTCGTCCTAGCCGCGCGCATTGTCGCCATTCCCCCCTAGCTATCGGTCTCATCGCCGTGCGCTGGGAGAACCGACCGTCGGGCGAGCTCGGCAAGAGGCAGCCCCCAGCATGCCAGGCAGCCTCACTCATGATTTGCACCATGAGGCCCAGGGCCAGGGGCGGGGAAACCCATGAAAGTCACAAGCGCCAGTAGCTTTCGGGGCATGCCCCGAGAACTTGCGGCGTCGAAAAAAAAAACCCGGGGGACGCGTCGTTTCGCTTCAGGGGTTGGGGGGGCTGCGCGCTGCAGGTGCGGCGACCGGGGCTTGGTCGCTGATCCAGCGCCAGCCGAAAATCTCAAGCACCCCGGCGGCCGAACCCGATACGGAAGGCCATTTATCACCTGGCCCGCGAAGGACACGAGCTGTTCGTCTGTGGACGCGAGCAAGCGACACCCTAAGGTATAGCGGGCGGGGCCCTGGACCTCGAGCTCGACCATGTCCCGAAGAACACCCGTTCAGATACGATCCTGACCAAGACGGTAGTCACGAATGCAATTCGCGCCGCCAGTTCTGAAGCTGCCCGCCCCTGAGGATATCCCAGAACTCCAAAGTGGAGAAGGAGGCGGCGCCGCAGTCGCATCCTCAGACTTAGGAAAGACGTCGGCGAGGTTAAATTCGCCCGCCACCACAACCACTGAATAATCAAGCGCCTGCTAACCCCGAGAGACAAAGAGAGAGAGAGAGAGAGAGAGAGCGAGCGAGCCGGAAATGTGGAATGGCTTCTTCTTGCTGCTGCCGAAGACAACCCAAAATTGTGGGCGCTGAAATTGGGGATCCAAGCCGCGTCCGGAAACTTCCGGGAAACGCATAAACTCGACCAAGGAAATTTCTTTGGATGCGACATGGGGCCGAAGCGCTTCATGAGGATACTCGAGGGAAGGGATGAAGGTAACCGCGCCACCAGCAGCGGCTGAAGGCGAGAAAGACGATGCGGAACGCACATGCTTATTCATATGGCAGATGAATTCCTGGACCTCTGTGCCTGACCAGTGCGTTCCCTGAAGGGCCACTGGGGATCCAGAAGGAAACAAACTTTTCAACACCACGACCTTTATCGTACGGAATTCGGGAGGATGATGAAAAAAAGCGCTCGCGTACTCCATGTAACCAAGCATCTGTTCCACTGCTTGCCTCGCTGCCCACGCCAACGCGCGAACAACATATTAAACACTCCAAAGAACCGTTTCCGCAGATCTGCAACATTGATGCCGAAGCTCTGCAGGTTCTGCTCCGCGAACGCCAAGACTGGGGGGGGTCATCTCCAGGCCGAAGGGGACAGGCAAACAAACAGCTTCAACTGGCAGCTGAACTCGCCCTTGACTCGGTCGGCGTACAGCTTGAACGAAGAGCCACTCGAAATAATAACCTGTTCGAATTTCTTGATGCGATTTTGCGTACCATGGACGGCGACGTACCCGTCAAAACAAACAAGTCGTGCGACCAGCCAGCGACATCGTCACAATGGAACCTTCGCATGTGTGCCATCATTTTTTCGTGGAGGTCCCATGAGGTGGCGGATCTTCCTTTCGGCGTAGCCTCGACAGCCTCCAACTCGCGGTGAAACACTTGGCGGCGTTCGCTCCCTCGGTGGTGATCCCGGGCTCCTCCAAGTTGCTGACCAGGAGCCATGCCTCGTGCGAGTCCCAGATCTTGTTCTTCGGCAGCGTCCCCTTGGAGCGGACGCAGAGGAGGGTGCCGCCGACATCCCTGTCGAAGCTCGGGTCGATCGGCTTCGGGCTGGGCTTGTTCTTCTTGATACCCCCGAGCATCTCTTAAAGGGTGACGGAATGCGGCTTCCAGGTCGGAGGCGCGAGCGTCGGAGGAGCCCATGCGCATTCGCAGCGCGCGCAGTTGGTCCTCCAAGGGCTCCGGTGACTGTCTTCGAAAGGTTGGTGATGGATGTGGTGAGTCCTGCGACCTGGGTCTGCACGGTCTTGAGGGACGACCCCAAAGAAGACTTGACGTCAGCCACATACCGACGAATAGCATCAATAGCATCGGCATTATCACGCTCAGCGTTAAGGGTATTCGCCTCTCTCCCTGCATCAGAGCCATCATAGGCGTGAGACATTGGGGTCACCGACGCTGGTATGTTGAACGAAACCGAAGTAGTGTGGTGGTATAGGAATGGGGCACCACTCTCCTGGCAAATCCTTGAGCCCCCTCCGAGTACTACCGATTCCTCGGCGGGCTTTGGGCAACGACTTGAGCCAAAATGGCTACAAACCTCCTCCTCCTCCTCCTCCTCCTCCTCCTCCTCCTCCTCCTCCTCCTCCTGCTCCTGATCGTCCCCGACATCCTCCTCCAAGTGTTCCCCGAAGGGTTTCCACAACGGCTGGGGGAACACATGGTCCGATAGCTTGGCCAATCTCCAGCCCAACTTTCGGCCACACACGCGCTTCCAAACGCCAGAGGGCGGCGATAATTCGCCGCAGGCGTCTTCGATACCGATGCCGCCGCTCCTTGGACCTCTCCCAGGACGCGTTCCGACCAGGATCTCGGGGCGAGTCCCGCCGCGGCGACGGGGGAAGGGTGTGGCTACCGGTGTCCTTGGATGGAAACGAAGCGGCGTAAGCATAAACTCTCGGCGCTCCGCGCGGATCTCTTGGATCCGCGCTGGGGCCCCCTCCCTCGCGCGCAGAGCGCGACAGGGGGGCGCTGGAGGCGCCGCTGGGGGGGAGGGGGGGGGGGAAGGGGAGCCCAGCGCACAAAGAAGACTTCCGCGCGGAGCGCCCCAAAATGTATGTCTATGGCGTTTTCCCTTCTTCGAGCCTGCTCCTCCCCTGAGTAGAGGAAAGAAAACTGTGCACATAAACAGACTCTGGCCAGGCCCATCCTGAGCCCAGGATCGGTGCATACGCCCTCATACCCTGGCCAGGAAGGCATAGGCACCGATCCTGGGCCAAGGATGGGCCTGGCCAGGACCAGTGCATGTGCATAGTTCTCTTCGCCCGACTGAGAACCAGTCCTCGAAATCCCAGAAATCCGCGCGGAGCGCCCCAAATTTATGTCCATGGCGTTTTTCCTTCTGCGGGCTGGAAAGTTTCTCCGAAGGGCTCAGGCGACCCCTCCTCCTCCTCCTCCTCCTCCTCCTCCTCCTCCTCCTCCTCCTCCTCCTCCTCCTCCTCCTCTGCGAAC